TGTGGTACAGATATTAGGCCATCGGAATCATGGCCGGATAGGAAAACAATATGAATAATAAGAAAAGAGCAACAAGAACTGCTTTTTTCGTCTATTTTGCCACTCACAGTTTTTGGCATTTTTCCAGTTTGTTCCTTTTTAGGGGGAGGAAGAAGGAACACCACAACAAACCGATGCACACGTCCGCCATTGACATCGATCTTGAGCCATGGTTTCCAGGGCCTTCAAGCAGCAAGTATCCGCATCTCTCGGACCCAAACCAGGTAGTCGACAACAACCGACCGAGGCCAACTGTTTCGTCAGCTTTTTCATGCGGCTTCTCCATGTTGTAGGCTGTCCACCAGACCGTTTCTTCCAGCCCTGTCCAGTAAGTGTAAACAACGCACGACGGGGGTAATGCCGGACAGGCATGCGCAATACGTGTCCCAACCACCGCAGTTGATGCAGTGAGATGAGCTCCTCGAGCGAGTGGCTTCTACGTCCCAAGACACGCCGTCTAACTTCCACATTGCTTACGTGGTGCTGCCACCACACACGGGAAATGGACGGCAGACAGCGGTGCTCGAAGACGGATAGCCTGCGCAAGTCATCTTTACGAATGGGCCAGGTCTCGCATCCGTACAACAGTACGGCACGAACAGTTGCACAATAGACCCGCCCTTTGATGGAGAGCCGAATGTCGTGGCGACGCCACAAATGCCTCAGCCTAGAAAAAGCGAGGCTTGCTCTCGAGATGCGCATCGAAATCTCGCCTCCAACAGCCCCGCCAGCAGTGATGCAACTTCCCAAGTAGACAAAGCTCTCCACAATCTCTAGTGTCTCATCAGCAAGCGTGAGTGCAGGCAGAGGCACCTGCCAGTCTTGGAAGAGAGCCTTGCATTTGGATGGCGAAAGGTACATACCGTACTTTGATGCTTCAGTCGCCAAGCGGTTTAATGCAAGTTGGACGACGTGTGGGTCGTCACCCAGCAAGACGATATCATCAGCATAATCCAAATCAACAACTCGACTACCTGGGAGGAGCTCAACGCCAGCATTCAACGAATCGCCTAGAGCGTTCTTCAAGACATCCTCAATGGCAAAGTTGAATAGGAACGGAGAGATAGGGCATCCTTGTCGAACTCCACTGGAGACCACAAAGGTAGGCGAAAGCTTGACATAAGCCCTAACCCTGCCCGAGGTCAGACTACATAGAGCGCGCAGTATGGAGACGAACTTCTCGGGGACACCATACCTCAGTAGACAGTGCCACATTACTGTACGATCGACAGAATCGAAGGCTGTACGGATATCCAGGAACACGGCAATCGTTGGCCTCTGATACACATGGCGGAGCTCGAGGATCTGGCGGTGTGAAGATTTGATCGATGCAGCCGCGACCAGGGCGAAACCCAGCTTGTTCTTCTCGTTGCAACGATTCGCGCGTTGGGGATAGCCTGTGAAGTATGATGGACACCAGCAGCTTGCAAACGACGGCGACTAAACTTATTCCTCTGTAGTTGGAGCAGCTTGTGCGCAGTACCTTTTTGAAGATGGGGACGACTATCGATTCACCCCAAGATGACGGAACTTTCTCTTTCAACCAAATTTTCGAGAACAAAGCGGTGAGTTCTAGAACCAGCGATGCGCCACCATCTTTAAATAGAGCCGGAGGAAGACCATCAGGGCCGGGGGCTTTATAACGCTTCATGTGCCGGAGCTCCTGCTCGATTTCCTGGGAAGAGGGAGGGTCTGTGGGGGTAGACCACTCGGCCCAAGCGCGAGCGCCAGAGGTAGCAGATGAAGCTGGGGGCCAACAAAACTGCGAGCCAAAATGTTCGGCCCATCGCTCCAACCGTCGTTGAAGATTGGTGATTAAGGTGTCATCCTCTTCGCATATTGTTTCACTTATACCAGATCGAACACCTTCGGTGACTTGAAGGAGATGGAAGAGTTTTCTGGTATTACCAGAGAGACTAGCAAGCTCCATCTTCCTAGCACGTTCACACCACCAAGCTTCGCGGTCCATTTGCAGACTCCTGCGCAACTCTCGACCAAGGTACTGGCGTTCTTCACTGTGTCTGGAATCCGATGGGAGCAAGCTGCGTCTGTCTATCAGAGACAAGGAGTCGGCGGAAATCCAATGCTTCGGTGGGTGACGGGTAACTTCACAAGTGTCGATACTGGCGGAAACTAAAACATCTTTGATATGCGCCCACTGCGAATCGAGATCACCGTCAATAGGTGAGCCAAGCAAGGTTGACAGTGAGGCTTGGTACCTGGTTAAAATCACAGGGTTTTGTAGATTCGCGACGTCCGGTCGGTCGTGGGTGCGCTTAGGTGATCCTCCGAAACGCATGCAAATCTTAGCACGAACCAATGCGTGATCGGAGTCTAAAAAAGTTGACCAGTACGATCGGCAGTCCGTTACGCTTCCGCGCCATCTGTAGTTGATTGCTATGTGGTCAAGCTGGGAGCACTCTTGCGTTTGTGAGGGCGGGCGCTAGGTAGCAGTGTGTCTCCTCGAGTGCCGAAAACTAGTGCTCGAAAGAAACAAGCGATGATCAGAGCAAAGAGCAAGCAGTCTGTCTCCATTGTCTGGTCGACTGCCACCGATGCCAAAACTACCCCCAAGGTGGTGCTCGCTTGGTGGAAGGCGGCCAACTCGTGCGTTAAAGTCCCCGGCAAGAATGATTATATCAGTCCGTTTGGAGGAACGCAAAGTTAATGTAGTTGTTGATAAAAGTCACCTTTAACTGCATCCGGGCTGCAGTCTATAGGGGCGTAGGCGGAGACAACAAACAAGGCACGCTTAACGTCTCGACGCCTGCTTACGTTACATGAACCTCTTAGTCTGACTGCACATAGTCGGCTGTTGACTGGGATCCAGTCAAGCAGAGCTGATTCAGCCCTGGCACTCAGTACAACCCCAACACCAGCTTGACCAGTGGCGGCAGGTTCTGAGTCTCCGGAAAGCCGCAAGTAGTATTTGGCGTCAGAGTTTACCGGAGAGGCCATTCTGATGACGGCGCTAGAGTCTTGTATTCTGGTCTCTGAAAGGCAACAGATGTCTACCGAAAGCGTTTCAAGAGTACGGGCCAGACATGCTTGTCGTCCGATCTGCATCCAAGTTCGAACATGAAACGCTGCGAGGATGAATGGAGAACCAGGTCGAAGAAGAGCTGGAGCTTCGGTGGAGTGAAAGGCGGTTGCGATCGGAGGACATTGAAAACCGAGAGTTTGGCTGTTACTTCCATCAGCTGCGAGACGTGGGTCGTTTGTGACGGTGACCATAGAAGACATCAGAGTACATGTGGGTGAAGGACGGGAGGTGGGGTGATATGTGAGTGGAGGTTGAGCGGTTGAGTTAGCACAGAAGATAGGCATAGCAGTGGCAGCAGTAAGCGGCGTGGTCCATGATTCGTCTGAGTGAATCTATATGTGACGAATTTCTACCTGTATTATTATTATTATTATTCGGCCCCCTTTTCGTTGAGTTACAAGGTATGGTACTCGTTTGTCCTGACCTGCTGACAAGTGTTGATTGTTTACTGTTTGTCCCTCTATTCCCGTTAACGGTGTTTACAACAGAAGAGATCGCAACGGCGGCCTCCCGGTGGACCTTTGCAGCAATCCCTACATATGTAATGGATGTTCCGGGGGCTTTGTCTAAACAAGAGACATTTGAGCTACGGGTACAAAGGGTTGGTTTTCGCCTGCTTCATCCTTGTTACTGCTGGATGTCAGCTCTAGTGGAAGTTGCTTAACCAGACGTTCCAAGTGGTGTCTGAATTTCGTTGCCGTGAGTATTGTTTGACTCTCGTAGGTACGGTCTGTTTTCGCCCGGCATTCTATCAAAGTTGGAGAAGAGGACGGAGATGGGGATGTGACTGTTTGCGGTTCAGGGTGAGCGGATTTTGCATCATTTCATTGCTTAGAAGCCGTTATGCTTCCGTGGTGCATACTCGCCTCCATCAAAGTAAGCTTATCGTTCATCCTTTGCTCGGTTTCTGCGGTTAACCGATCGCACTTATAAACTAGGGTAAGCAAGCACTTAACGAGTGGGATAGTGGAGCACGCAGTACAGAAGCAAAATGCATCTTGAGAGCTATTTCGCTCTCGTACCTGTTGTTGGGACACAGTTGCACATTTCGTATGATACCATTCCAAACAGTGCGAGCAAGCCAGACCGATTTTAACTATTCGATGACATTCTCTTAACCCGCAAATGCCTTTCGCTTGGAGCCTTTTCGGTTTCGCATTTCTGCCATTCAACGTTGTTTCGTTACCTGACCCAGTGGGTTGGTTAGCGTTCTGTACTTTTCCAGCTTTGGGAGAGGCGCACATCGGTCAGGCGAGCGTGGTGGTTGCAAGGTCAAATGAGCGATCGGTGTGGTCGCACGGTCTGTAGGATGGGTTATGCAGGCGTACTGGCTGACAAGGTCACAAGGAATGGTGAGTGACTGGAACCTGCCAACTGAATCTGAACAAAGCGAAGAACACAGACTGAGAGATCACAAATTCTTTCACAACTGGGTTGAGAAACGCTGGATCGGAATAAGCTTAGGCTTTTCGGCCTGCCTCGAGAATTCTGTATCGAATGGTGTCACACAGAAAGGCAATCGGCTCCATGTGATTGAGTTAACCGCTTGCGCTTAATCACGCATGCCAGTGAAAACGGTTAGTGATGGCCCAGCCTCTCTAATCGTAGAAGATATTTTCACGTATGATGGATCACTGTGTCGGGCTGGTAAATCCGGTTCCAATGAGCGTACAGTGACAACACTGCGAGAAGATGGAGGGGAATGATCCAAATGAACCAGGAGCACGCACCTCAAGCGGGTGTGGGGATGACCTTGAGAAAACGTTTTCAAGGAGATTAGTATAGAAGACCCTTCGATTGCTTAGAAGTTATTGGAAACAAACGACAAAAAACTAAGATGCATCGTAGCAAGCGGAATCAAACGGTTGCAAAAAGGCTATGTCAAGTCGGGCCGAGGTGAATATAGCGCCAAAATTACCTCCGTAAATAATCCGAATGGTTTTGGCTACTTCCGAGTCTATGTTAACTTCAAGCCATTTCCGAACGGCCACATGAACTTCCTGTGCTTGTGCTGAGGTAGCGGTCTTTCCAGTTCCAATTGCCCAAACTGGCTCGTAAGCAATCACCACACGAGACCACTGGGATTTGTTTTTGATGTGATCTAAAGAGGGAAAATCAAACACGCTGAGAGAGAGAATTCATTCCAAAAACTCAAGAGGCTAGTGAGCTTATACGAGAGCGGTTGGAACAGCTCGTTTTAACAAAAAGTATGCAAAGCAGATCAAAAAACAGGTGGTGGATTCAGTATAGAAATCTACGAAAAAACTAAAGAAACAGAAATTGAGAGCCCAAATAAACGCAAAGTAAGGACGGGGTTGACCGCTGAACGTCATCTAAGAATGACAGAAGAGGAAGCAAAAATCCTGCCCGAAATATGGGAGAAAAACAAGATGGTTGAAACGCGGCATTTCTTATGATATGTCGGCGTTATTCCGCCAAAAAACAGTGGCAACTGTCCTACGAAGACCGGTATACGAGGCTAGGACTTTAAACCCTGTTTATCGTCGAGTGCGGGTTGGTCTCATCATGAGGCATCGGATATTACATCTTGGTGATTATCCCATGTTGAGGCCAATGGTCTATATGTGCTCGCCAAGCAGCACAAGAGGATGCCGATACAAGCTTGCAGTACCGGATTTGCGTCGGCTGGTGTTTCCCAACTACCGGGCTGGGAACTGAAGAACGTCGAACACGTTTGGTTGGATACATCAGATGGCATGGCGAGGAGACGACCTCAATGGTGTTTGTGTTGTGAATCGCTTTGTCCATCACATCCTCTTTAGCTCCCCCATCCAACAACGATCACAACCCAATGCAGAACAGGATTTTAGCATGTTACTTGTTTAGCTTTTGTGACCTATACTGATTAATCCCTTATCTCTGTTGTATTGCGCCGCACCAGCTGTGTGTTTCGCAACGTCGGTTAACGTATATTGATGACCAGGATGAAGATACAGAGATAAGGTGGTTGCGATGTTGTGTAGCCGCAAGTAGACATGCATTCACCTCGAAAACCATGAGACGGCGAGTGTGGTGGTTATACGGTTGCCCATACAGAACCAGGAGTGAGAAACACCTCAGGTATTGTCCCGTAACACAACTCAATGAGATAGTACTAAGATGAATGAAAAAGCATGGAATGCCACCCAACGAAGCAGCGGTTTCCCGAAATTTTAACTTTGAATTTCTTTCCGTTGTGCCAAGCGTTGCTCGCGGATTTCAGTAGTGTAGTGTTCAGGGCGTCAGCCGTGAACTACTAGGCTCTGAGTTCCAGCCCAACTCAGGCTATCGCCACCTGATGAGTCCAAATCAGGACGAAACCGCGGTCGTGGTGTGCCAGTGTTGGGAGGAGCAACACCGAAATATTGCCATTTCGGATAGGGTCCTCGCGATCGGAATGACCGAGGTTTACCTCAAAATGAACCGAGGTCGCAATAGAGGTTGCGCGTCGCAACCCAAGGATGCAGCGGTTTCCCCAAATGTTAACTTTGTATTCCTACGCTTGTTTTCCATTATGCACTGACAGAGAGATCATGGTTGGAGGGGATGACGGTTGGCGAGATGACGAAAGTCAAAACATAAACGCCATTGGAGTCGGTTCTTCACAATGCCAAGTGTATCCAAACAAACGTGTACGCCGTCTATGAAACCTAAGTTAGAAAATCAGGAAGCTCCAACCGGCGCCAGGATCTAAGTGAGGACCTTCATTCCTCTTGACCAAGTCACTACCTGGCCACCTCTTCTCTTCTGCCATTCATATCCCTGGTGCAAAAATAACGCACGTCCGGGAAATCGGTATGTTGGCATATGTAATACGTAGTCCAGCTATCGGAGCCTGGTGCGTGAAATGATGACGCTGAGCGGTTCATTTCCTCTTCCTGTGCCCTAAACAAGACGCCGAACACGCTCATTATTCATGCGGTGTTCCCACCAGATGTGAGCGAAGTTGCACCGGTGGTCGGATGTAAGTAGCCTTTTTATGTTTGTTGATGTGATGGGCCAGGTTTCACAACCGTACAGGAGGGTTGAACGAGCATCTTCATTGTAGACACTGCCCTCCAGGGCGAGAGTGATGTGGCACCGGCGCCACAGGTGGCGGAGATTCATAAAAGCGCCTTGAATTTTTGTTATACGGACAGAGACACGACCGCTGATATAAGCGCCAAAGTGGTTGAACTTCTGAACGATTTCTACCTGTTCCCAGCAAATGATCAACGCAAGGTTGGGCCTCTGCCAATATTGGTGAAATAGCTTGCATTTGGAGGATGTGAATGACAGTCAAAATGGATGTCAGTCAGTGCCAATCTGTCCAATACTGCTTGGTAGGTCGGCAAGCTATCACCTATTATGACAATATCATCGGCATACTCCTAGTCAAGAAATCGATCCCCAGAAGCAGCTCCATAACTTCTATGTCTTGTCCAGTGAACACAGTCACTATGAATTTATCGGTGGCGAAGTTAAAGGGAACGTACTCGAGGACATTTTGTCGCACACTACTGGAAATTTGTAGGGCCGGGATAGTCTTCTATAAGCCCTAACTCTGTCCGAAATGAGTGCAGGAGGCGCTCTGATAATGTTTACATATTTCATGGCACACCTTTCCTGATCAGGCAGTCTCAAAGAGCACATCGATCCGCGAAATCAAAGGCACCTTCGATGTCGAGGAACACGACTGCAGCGGACCGTCACCATAAGCGGCAATGCTTCAAAAATTGACGAAAAAGGAGGATATGGTCCATGTAAACACGAGTTCGACGAAATCCGGGTGATCTGCACGCATCTGGTTTTCACGGGAGCTAGTAAATCTGTGAAGAATGACAGAGGAAAGTGACTTGAAGGCAATGGAAATTAGGATGATCAATCTATGGTTGCCGCATTCCGAAACCTGTGTCTTCTCGAAGCTTGGGACAATAAGGGAGCGGCTTCGGTCGGTTGAGACAGTTTCCTACCTCAAAGTTTCAATAATAAACAATGTAAGTCATCCGAAATAGCAAGTACACCGAATCTAAAGTGTGCTGGAGGAAGTACATCTGATCGTGCGACCTACTTCAATTTCAACAGGTTGATTTTGCGTTTGACTTCTACACATGAAGACGAGTCCAAGCGAACGGCCCAGGGAGAATGGTAATCATTGACCGATGAGAACGCTGGTAACAGGCCGAGTAAGCTGCTTTCCAAAGCATTTGGCTCAATCTCCCGAGCGTTTGTACAAGTTGTGGATTGGCTATCCACTCTAGTCTCGCTTACAGCATGTCTCCTGCTGCCCGTTTCCGGTAACAGACAGAATAACGCGACGGTTACCAACGCCAATTGCTATTCCAAACTCCGACGCCAGAAGAGAGCACCGAGCTTCGAGGTCTCTCTTCTGGTTAGCACGCAATTTGTTCTGAGTTTTTGTGAGTCTCGTTGTGTTCGCTTCAAAGCGGAATGCGTCGGCGAGCATCCAGAAGTTCCAGAGACTGGGAATAAATCCGATGTCTAGGTCGGTAATTTGGCTTGGCACATGAAGACACACCTGCCGCTATTAAGATCTGGTGACTGTGCGACCAATGACCACCAACTGCGTTCAGTGAGCGCTTACTCAACTCGAATGCCAGCGGACTTTGTTACGCATTTGGTTCATGTGGTTTTGCTAGTTGGCGGATGTACATGCACTCACAGCGTGGTCCTGGGCATCCGCCACAATGCACCCGCAGATCTGTACACACAAATGTGTGGTCGACGTCCACGTTTGTACTCTAAATCGAACGGCAATTTTGGACACAACCTCTCCAGCGCTAACTCAACACGATGTGATTGATCTACGTCCATGGCTGGTTCTTTACTAGTGGGTGCCATGTTACCCTTCAGTGGGTGCTGTGTCAGAAGTTAGCGCTATACATAGCTATACATAGGTGTAAGAACAGTTCACCACTATCTTGTCTGCTCATACAACAGATTTTTCAAATTGTTATATATCAAAATTATGGACTGATTACTGGTTGTAAGCAGCAAGAACAGGTATGTATAGTTGCATCTAATATCACCCAGGTACAAAGACCCATTATGTTGGAGTGCGCTCGAGATATTTTATCTCATTAAGGTGTTTGTCCAGAAAAGTAAGCACATGTTACCACTTGTATATTGCCAGTTTACCTCTCTAATCACTGTATCTTACTTTCTTTTTAATATACACCGCCTAAACGTTTCTGAACGATTCGCAACAGTCATCCGTTCCGAAGCCTTGAGAAACGGTTAAGAGTGCAAGAATAAGTGGAAAAGTATTAATTATTTGTTTCTACAGCGGTCCTGTAATTTAAGCTTCAATTTCCTTTGTACCTTGATAATCGGACCAGCTTTGCTGGAATGTACCTACAAACTGGAAACACTAAGTCACCTTCAGCCACTTCATTAACGCAGTAAGAAGACATAGGTTGCGATATGTTAACATTTCGATTGCTCTCGTCAGTCGCTACACAATACAGGCAGAACAAAACACGCAATATATAAGGTCCACACTTAGTAACATAGATAAGCAGATAAAATTGATGGGAATGATGTAAGCAGATCCAAGGCAATCTAATTGGTTGCCTCAATTGTTCCTGAGCACAGAACACGGGACACTTCAACCTTATCAGTAACGCCTCGCCAATTGCCAACAACGTCGGGTTCCTGTTGCGCAATAGCACCTTGAATGAATCGATTGGGTTCACCTGGTGACGAGTCAGCATGAGGTGTTTGGTGATAGACGAGGCAGGGTTCCGGTTCACTCTTTGGTTCACTCCGCCTTGGTTAGACTGGAACTGCCTTAGCCACAATGGGAAGTGTTCCGCCACCCTTTGAGCCAGCCGGCGACCAGTCTTGCCTATGTAAGTGTCACTGCAAATGCAAGTGAACTGGTAGATGATGTTAGAGGCCGAACTGATTGACGAGCTGCTTGGACGGCTGTGGAGAGGAATCCTTCGTGTAGTGTGAATAAGTCGTAGTTGGACGGTAGAGTAGGTGCGCATTAGAGCGGACCTGAGCTTGTGATAAACTTCATTTGCAAAGTGATCCCCCTTGAATGGTAAGAAGAAATAAACATCCTTCTTCTCCGCAGTTTGTACGGGCAGCTTCTCC